GATATCTGCCACAGAAACACCGATTAGCAGTATTGACTAACCGTGCTCTCTATGAGGGCTGTAATGTTGCTTTCGGGCTGAGTTGGGCAACACTGTTTCACTCATACTGACATTCATGCATTAAAGAAAGTAATACTCAATATAAATCAAGACTCTGCTTACGTGCTCACACTTGGAAATATCTGTTGCTTCTTATGAGTTGCTTTTTTGTTTTGCCTCATTACTTCTCAACTTATGAGTGTTGGTGCCTACCCATGATTTGTAAAAGCACTGCACTGCCACTGTGTGGTCACTTGTTGACAGTACATCACACTTGAACAAATAAACTCACCATTTTGTAAACTGAGTTCTTGTCACTCTTTGATTGAACGCACGCGTTCATTTTACATTTACGTTACCAACGCAGTAAAAGTTACTTGACTTCAGTTTGAATGCCAGATGTTTAACCTTCTAAGACCCAAACTCTTCCACTGCATGCATTTTTGATTTCTCTTTGATATTTGGGCATATTGGGGACCGATGAATGTAAAAACAAAGAAATACCAATTTTTTTTTTATTTTATTTAATTTTTTACCTGATTTTTGTTTCTAAGAAAAACGAGAGCCACATATGAGGATATTCATTTAAAACTTCGATAGAACAGTAGCAGCATAATGTCCTCGTAAGTGGATATCAGGCCCTTGTAGAGCAAAATTAAGTATTTTGGTCTAAATAACCCAAAATGTGATGTCATATGTGGACGCCAGGTCCTAGGAGGTTAAACAATGACACTATCCTAATAAATTAAAGGTGCTACACTGAGTATGTTTAGGTGGAACATATTGTTAATACTGAGAGGCATTTAGAATGTGAAGCACATAGTGCTTTTGAATGAATGCGACCATAATAACTCCTTTGTTTAATAAACACAGTGAGAATTAAAGGAGACATTAGTCATATTTGATCTCACATAAAACCTTCTTACTCTCATGTACCCTCCTTTTTTTTAAGCTCCATTAACCAATAAAACTGCTGTTATTTTAACTGCTGTTATGTCTCGTAATAATTAGCTTTCTTTTTTTAAGGCCATTTTTCAAGACTTCATAAATAACTGAACAAAACATGACTAAAAACAGCTTTGACTTCACCTGGCTTTGACTTCGTGTAAACATGCAGTTTTGCATTGGGCGTGGCATCCACAGCACAAGATAGTGATGCTGAATCTGCAATAGTTCTTGCTGCTTTCTTCACTGTCATTCAACAAAAGTCAGACGTTGTCTCAGCATGTGGGAAAGAAGGCAAATGATAAAAATGTGCAAAAAAGACAGCAATGAAATGAAGTGAAATTGTTAATCAGAACATTTGGTTGAGCAGTAAAGTCTCAATCTCTTACGCAGGTGTTATATTGGTCGCACTGAACCACAATGACCGGGGTCTCATGTTGAAGCTGCCTGTATAAATTATGTCACAGTGACACTTCTTGGTCAAAAAGATCCAACTGATATTTCGTCATGTCTAAAGAGATGTAGTGCTTTTGACATACAATCACAAATGGAAAATGCTACAAGTATTGACACCGTGTCTTTCTTTCTGCCTTTTTTTTCAGAAGGAACTGAGCCTTCCCAGAAGAGGCAGCTTGTAAGTACCCATCATTCTCTTTTCCTTTTGTCTATTTCCAGCCTTATATGGAAATGGTTGGAACGTTTTTATGGTGCAAAGCAATCAACTTTATACACACCTCTGACTGTACGGGTCCTTTAAATTTCTTTGGAAAACAATATCTTTCATCCTAAATTTCATCTTTAGTGGTCATTAGTATTGAGCAGAGCTTCAAGTGAAGGGATAAAGAGCTATTATTTAGAGGCCACTAAGTTTGTTTGTGTGCTTAGGCCTATTTATATCTTTTTGTGCGTGTGTGCGTGGCAAAGTTCTAATGTAATGTCATGCTGATAAGTCCTACCAAAAGTCAGAGGTGCATTGGGGAAAATGCCATTCTAGTGCAGTCATCATAACAGTTCAGATGATTGCACTAGAATGGCATTTAAGCACTTGTTTAATATTTTGAGAGAAATTATTAAAGGCGTTTGCACTTTAGTCACATTCCCTTGACAGTGTTTTGAGGTCTCTCTGTATTTATCTTGATGTTGAGGTAATGTGGAGTTAGCGAGCCTTTGCAAAACCTTCAGCATGGAGTTACTCAGTGGTAGATCAGCTGGTCAGTGTAATCACTTCAGTCATTCTTCCTCATACCGGTACAATGTTCTGCTTGTAACATGTCCAAAGCAGTTTTTCTTTCATTCATTTCTCTCCCTCTTTATTTAACAAACATACCTCTGCTGATTATAGCTCAGAAGGAATTTTAAATCACTTCTGGGCTATAATCACACATGACCTGTGTCATTTAATTAATTAGTCTTGTCTCTCTGTTCACTGGAAAAAGCTTTTTCTGAATTTTATAGGTTTTCTGAGTCTTTCTTGGCCATATTTGTGCCGATGTGGGTTCACAGTAGAACAAATCACTGCCAGAATGTGCTCAGTCATCCTAAAGCTGTTCTGCAGTCCTGCAGAGGGTTTCTTGTTTCTTCCTGGAAAGTGTAAGAGAAGAACCTTCTCTCAAAATGATTCCTTTTTCTTGCAGGTCTCAACAGAAATGATGGAGGTTAAGTTAACTTCCATGTCCATTAGGAAATGAGGAATCAAATGCTTCGCAACCTTCCTCTTGCCTTCCTCAAGAACTTGATATCTTAAAAAATGTCTTGAGGGAATGTTTTCCCTAGCAGCACTAGTGTTGGGTAATATTATATATTCTTGCCTACTGTCATTTAAAAAGTAATCTATGAAGCTTTAGTTAAACTAGAATAAAATTAGGACGATGATCTCCATATGACCAGGAAAACACTGGTTGGAAAATGATTGCACAGAATTTTTGGGCTTTCTAGAACAGATTAGAAGTAGCTGCTTGTCTGCTCCATGAAACGACAAAACACACAAATCAGAGCTATTAAGGTTTGTTAGAGTAGTTTACAGTGCATCTAACACCAGAAAGCATGTCTCATTTTGTCTTATAAAAAGAGGCATACTTGGTATGAGGTACAGTACTAGTGGCATCTATTTTTTTTTAATAATTGTATATTATAAATTTGCTGTAGCACAGTGGTTTGATCACTGCTTTGCGTACCAAAGAATCAGTGTATTTATCAGAGTGTGAAGCAGAAGATGCTTGTATGAATGTGTGTGATTAGATGAATGAGGCATGTTGTATAAAGTGCTTGTAATGTTCAGGTACAGTAAAAAGGCTCCGTGTGAGAACCGGCCCTCTTTAGAAACAGCCCAGTCTGTGGCAGATAGTCACACCTGACGTGTGGTGCAGTGTGGTATGGGGAAGTCTGTCGCTGGCTTTGGTACAGCACTACACATCTGATGAACAGATTTGTAACAGGCGGCAGTAGATTTGAGATTTATCACAGTTTATCACTGCAGCACTATCGCAAACAGATTGCACATGCCAGCTTGACCCAGATTGATCGGAAACTGCCTTATTGCCATTTGTTCCCAGTTTATTTGGCATATCTATGCACCGAAGTCAGCTGGAAAATGGCAAGTGGTCTCAGACCTGGCCCCCATCTTTGAGCTTCCATGTCAAAGGCAGAGAAATTGCAAGTTGATTTCACAGGATCACTAAAATATTTGCATCATTGTCTGCTATGATAGCTGAAGCCCTATATTAGAATCAGCTTTATTGGCCAATCACATTAATACACAAGGTGTTGACTCTGTTTGATGCGACTCTCAATGAACATTGATATTCATTACTTCTTTGTTTGGTTAAAGTAAACACCATTTAGCTAAGATTGGATGGTTTCTGTGTTACTTGCAAATCAAAAGATTTCCCACAATCATCTTCACAATCCGCATTATCTTCCAGGATAAACCCTCGTCTCACATGAACAACTTCCATTAATGAGCAACGTGGGAACTACTGATGTACATTTCATCTTTTCCAGGCATTTGAGGCCTGTGAGGCTGCAATTCCAAGTATGATGAGAAAATCATATGAAATGAAATGCATTTTTAGGAATATTTTAAGGAATATTTAGCATCAGCAGTACTGAGAAAGGCTGCTAAAATCGTGACCAAACCCAGAGCATAAGATGTAAACGTGTATTTCTTTAGATCTTTTTTTCCTCCTGGCTCTGGTGATGTATAAAATTATGCCCAATGTTTGAACTCTTTTCTGATCCCAGCCCACCAAAATTGTGGTAAATTTCAACAAACAAACACTCAAAGTATAAAAGTGGTTGCTGTAGCAACAACCCCAAAACAACTTTTCCCCCTCCCATTGTTCCTTTCGAATCTTTGACTCTACAGAGCTGATCATTGGTTCCCTGAATATTAGGCTGTTTTTCATCTCCGTCTCTTTGTCCCAGCGTTGTTAAAAAATCCAAAAGAAGCCCATGAGTTTAATTTAAACTCAGATGGTTGTTCTAACTTCTTCCTCAGAGCCCACCATGTTTGTTTAATGAGCAATCTCAACTCTGCTTACCTCACTAGAAACTCAGCACCACCATCTGGTGGCCTGAATAAGCAGTTGATTTTATTTTATTATTCTGGTACTAAAAAATTCTAATTGAATTACAATTTGGCTTCACCCCTCCATACTAAACTCGCTGTGTTCAGACGTCAGTAACAAGATGGGATAAGGTCAGTTACACACACGCAAGATGACATTTAGAAAAAGTGTTCTTTGTTTGGCGGCTTGCAAAGGAGCTCAGTGGGGGAATCATGTGACACTCATGCTCACTTTTATTTTGTGAGAATCCTCAGTGACCTTAATTTTAACTTCCACTAATAAATTCTGACCCCACCAGACCCCTTAATCTAACTTTTCCAAGTCCAGAGGCAAACACAAAGACCCAGTATAGTTTCTAATGGCATGCTCGTGTCCTGCTGCAGCTTCTATATTAGCTCAGTAATCACTCCAAATGAACCGAACTGTGTGTGCATGTGTTTCACGCAGCCAAAGCCAGCTGTGATTGGAGTCATTGTTTATGACTTAGCGATGTGGCTTATGAGCTGCATTTAGCCCGTCGCGCTTAGCAGTGTACCAAAGCTTCTCGGAAATGAGAATAGAGACAGAAAGTGGACAGCTGCACCTCACACATGCTCTAACATAGCATCATGAAAGTGTCTCCTGTGTTGACTTTTCTCTTTTAGGCGTTAACGTACGCTCAAAACCTGACCCAAAGAAAAACACCATCTGAAGAGGAGTCAGTTAAAATAATTTTAGGTTGAATCCATAAAAATTGTAGGACTTTGTAGGAGTTTGGTAAATGTGACAGGAATAAAACATAAGACTGAGTTTGAAAAGTGGTTAAGCAGTGTTTTCTGTTAAACTGTTTAACTTCTAACATATCCCAGTCATTGTCAGTTATTTTACATAATCTAACACAAGAAAAACCTCACAAAAAAAACCAAAACAAAACACAAAGACAACCCCAAAAGAAAAACCATGTGGAATAAAAGTTTAAACAGGTTAAAAAGCATTAAAACACTCTTTCAAACATTATATTTTCTCCAGATATAATGTTCTCTAGAAATTCTCCCATAATAAGCCAAGCCAAACGGCACAGAAGGAGACGTCAGGCTTTACTCCACTCTTTATCTTCCCACCTCCCTGTTTGACCCCTCCCTCGAGCCTTCTGTTCACCCGTCCCTCTGTAGGCTGTTTGTCGAGGACTCAGTCAGTTCTCTTGGACGGTCTGATCCCAAACAGGCTGAGACTTTTAAGGAACTGAAGGGAGATTAGCAGGGCCGGCTGTACCCGGGGAGGTTCTGGCAGGCACTCTGTTCCTGGGGACGTGCAGGCAGGACACTTCCTCCAAACTTTTGCTATGGCTGAGCGGTAACAGGAGCTGATAACTAAGGAGTTGGTCCTTTTTCTTTTCTAACTTGATGGGACAACACAGAACGTAATGTTCTTGGGATTACGTTTTATGCAAGAAGAGAAACAAAAGGATTTATTTTGTGTTTTTAACAGACTTTGGATTCATCAGAGGAAGACAAAATGAGAAGGAGGAAAGGTCAATTGAGTTTGTTTAACACACACCAAATTTGTTTATCCAGCTCAGATAAATATGTGTGTTGCTTGCACGTAGCTCCACACTCTGTTTGTGTGTGTTTGTGAATTAGCAAGCCCATGCTTGCCGGTGGAAGAGCAGTCTACCCCAGATACCTCATACAGCTGAGTCTCTGTGTGGAGATAAGAGTAGGTGCTGACGTAGCACAGGCTAAGCTCATTCTTTTATACATGAAGGTGCTGTCAACAGTCTGACCCATGGAAAACTAAACTACATGAGAGTTTCTGGTCCTTTGGAGGAGCTGCTCAGTGGTCAGTATGTATTTGACCGACAGATGAGCTGATACAGGCGGGTGGATTATTAATGATTACAGCTGATTCATTTGTCCCAGTACACAAGATGAAGAGGAGGAGGGAGCGATCAGGAGCCCCGCAACTTCGCCTCCAGTAAGAGTGTGTGTACACGGCATGTTCAAATTTGTGTGTGAAAGCGAATGAAGATTAGGTTCATATCAACACAACAAGAGCTGTATCCCATTTCCTTCTCGTTTATTTGTGCTAA